GAATTGCCATCCTTGGAGATCCTGAGTGGTGCAACTGTGAAGTTTTTCCTGCCTTGAGCAGGAGATTGGAGTGGCTGCCATCTGCAGATATCTTCTGGCCTGAATTTCTGGATAGTGCTTCGCAGCATGATAGAGACTCCCATCCCAGAAAGAGTTCTGACTGAGCTCAACTTCTTTAGTTTATCTCGTGAACTGCTATTCAGTACAGTTGTAAAGTATTATTTTTCTGACCTTTCTCTGTTTCAAGTCCCAGTCTTGGAACAACATCTACTTTTAGTACACTCATTTTCAGGACAGATGATGATTTTTTCATTTCTCTGAATAATGTGATAAAAGTAGATATTTGTTAAAAGAGTTTTATTTAAAACCTAGCTTACCTTCCAGGATGCAGTGACAGCCCTGTTAGCTAGAACCACTGCCCAGCTGGAAGCAGTAGAGAGAGAGTTGGCAGAAGAGAGAGTGAAACTCGAGTATACAGAGGAGGAAATCCTGGAGATGGAAAGAAAGGAAGATCAAGCAGAAGCCATCTCAGAAAGGTAAGAACAGTAGTTAAGATATGCCCTTAAATAGCTGAGTGGTGTTTACACTGTGGCTGTGGTCTGAAATACAGCAGTAGAAGTAGATCCTTATTCTGAGATTCACTCGCTGTTAGTGTCGAGGGTATAAAATACTTTTATCGTGTGATGATATGTAAACTGGAAAAAGCCCTCATTTGAGGGTGAGTTTGTAGGACTGGTAGTTTGGGGAGTGAGGAAACAATTCTTTAGCAAACATAAAATTTGCCAGGAATCTGCTGAAATGGCTTCACAGCAGCAAAATACTAGAAGATCTTGTAGTCATGCAGAGAAAATGTGAAAGGCTTTTAGAGGAAGTTATAAAAAACATTTTGACATGAAACATTTGCTTTTCTATATATCTGCAGAAATTCAAGGGGATTTTGTGCTTCCTTTGCAAAGCTTGTATTTCTACTGCAGAAATAATATTCTGAAATGATAAACTGTCTCAGATTTTGAAGTATACAAATACTATGCATAATTTCATGCTTTTTTTCGTGCCTCAAAAAAACCTTGTAACGTCCTGACTTTAGGAGCTGGCAAGCAGAATCCGTCGACAGCGGATGCAGTAACTGCACGCAGACCAGCCCTCCTTACCCCGAGCCGTTCTGCGGGGATTCCTTACCTGCACACACGTTTGCAACCCAAGTGGGCCAGTACAGCTCTGGGAAGATGCAGCCTCCACCACTGAAGGTATGGAGGGAAGAGCCTGCAGCCCTGAGGCTGCCCCCGAACTGGAACCGACCTTCGCAGCTCTCTAAGCACTGCCTTGGCGACAGCAAAGTGCCCTTAGGCCTGTCAGAAATGCCCTCTTTAGGGCTATTGGTTTTGTTTGGTTTGCTAGATATTTTCTGGACAGAATTAGTCTTTTACACTAAAAGATGAGCTATTCAGTCTTATAATGCAGTGGGAAGCTTATGCAGCTCTTCCTCCCACAACTGTCTCCTGACATAAGTGGATCCTCTTTATTTTACAGTGGCAGCACTAAAGAGGAAGAGTACCAAAAGAGGCAGTTAATTAACTTAAAACTTGAATAAGTTAACCCATTGTGTAGAAGGGATTATAAATTTCGGTTTAAAACTCTGTGAATATTGAAACCTGTAGAGTTCATGTAGTATTCAAAATTCAGAAATGAGAAAAAAAAATGAAATTAACGGACAGCTTCATAATTTAAGTTTCACAAAAGGCGAAGTCTGAGTGTTTCAGTGAGGAACGAAGAAACATTATTCCCAGTTATTATACATGAGCATTATTGATAGAACAAAGGAAAATGGGTATTAATTAAAACACAGGCAGTTCCATCTCCATGTGAGGAGGAGCTTATTTCCTGTGGGGGTGAGAGAGCACTGGAACAGGCTGCCCAGAGAGGCTGGGGAGCCTCCTTCTCTGGAAATCTCCCAAACCCTCCTGGATGCCACCCTGTGCCACGTGCTCTAGGTGTCCCTGCTGGAGCATGAGGGTTGGACTAGCTGATCTCTAGAGGTCCCTTCCAACCTCAGCCATTCTGTGATACTGTGTGATATTCTCACTGCTGTCTGCATCCCGTCTGTAAATGTGCGTTTGTAACAAATGCATAGTCATGTTGACTTGAAGTCATCACGGAAAAGACCGTGCTCAAATTCAAGTGCTCCTGAACTTAAGGGTTCCCAAAAGGACTGTGAAGGAAAAAGTTCAGTGTTTTAGCTGTGTTGCTGCTTTAGTGCTTTAAAACTTTGTAAAATGAGAATTAGCCTGTGGTCTGTGTACTCATTATAGATTGGATAGCTTAGTTCTAATATAATTGAAAAGTCTGGTTGTTTTTGGTGAGAGAAAAAAAATGTGATTTTTTTTTCTACATTGAAATTTTAGGTGGATAAGGAAACTAACAGTTCCCAAAAGGACTGTGAGAGGAAAAAGCTCAGTGTTTTAGCTGTATTGTTGCTTCAGTGTTTTAAAACTTTGTAAAATGAGAATTATCCTGTGGTCTGTGTACCCATTATAGGTTGGATAGCTTACTTCTAATATAATTGAAAAGTCTGGTTGTTTTTGGTGAGAGAAAAAAAATGTGATTTTTTTTTCTACATTGAAATTTTAGGTGGATAAGGAAACTAACACTGAGGATCTGTTTCCTGAAGAAGTTGCTGCTCTTCCAAAAGAGCGAAGCAGCCGCCGGCCGCGAGGTTCTGCTTTTGTTCGCAGTAGCACCATAGTTCGGTCGCAGACCTTCTCACCCGGAGCACGAAGTCAATACGTTTGCAGAGTGAGTAGGGCTCCAGGAAAGCGGGATGGGAGAGGGAAAAGGGGGCAGCCCAAGGGGCTGTGTGTATTCTTGTTAATTTTTTCTTAAAACTTGGATTGTATTCTTAAGTAACAGGTGGTGCTTTTTAATACCTATGAGTAATCTTTCATTGAATTTAATCATTACAATGGGAAGAAGGTCTGATTCTTTATTTTTAAGAGCTTAATTCTGAATTTATTTCAATTAAAATTTAAGAACTTAGCATAAATGAGACATTAGGCTCCATCCCGGACAATCCATGACAGCAGGCCAGGATGATTCCTCTTACAGAGGTGCAGTTATCTCTGTTGTCTAATGAGGCATGTTTAGATTCCAGGTAAATAGAAGTTAGGAAAAGGGTATTATCTCCCTAAGCTTATGGTTACTAGATAAATCTTTTTAGGAATTTTTGGTGTTGTTGTTGTGAATGTCATAGTTGTAGGATTCCCCTTAGAGTTGGACCTTTTTCAGGATCCTTGAGCGCTGCCCTGGGGCAAGAAGATGAGAATTGGTGAAACACATTTCGTGCTCATGCTGAGTTGTTGCTATATTCGCCTGCAAGAGGCTTAGAAATATTATTGCAGAGTCAATACATCAATATTGATTTGGTTATATTAGTAGAATGTTAATAGTAGTAACTCTACAATTTGCATAAGCTTTTCAAGATCTTGAGTTTGAAAATGTGGTAATGATTTTAATGTTTTTTCTTTAAGAAACCTCACATTAAACTTTAATATTTTTTTTTCTCAACTCAAACTGAGAATCTAGTGTTCTTTGTTAATTATGTTGCACACAGTGTATCCATGGCCCAGTTTAAATTCTTCAGTGTGTTTTCCTGATTCCATACCCGTTTATGACATGTGGGAATGTAAAACCCTTAAGTAGTACAACAAAGACAACATAAAAGGGAAGGGATATTAAACAGTGCAACCATGTTGTGCTGTTTAATAGGTATTGTACATATTATTTTAAGGAAACGTCAAGCAACCTAGTTTTCTGAGTGCAGAGGACTTTGTAAGCATCCCATGTTTTCAATATCTTCTCTAATCAGCTGTATCGCAGTGACAGTGACAGTTCAACCCTGCCAAGGAAGTCACCTTTTGTCCGGAATACGCTGGAAAGGAGAACTTTACGGTATAAGCAGGTAACACTTAGAAAACGTTTTTGTTTTTCTATTATTTTTAGAACAGTAGTACTTTTATACCTGAGCTTCATGTGTCTGTAGGTATATATTGGTATATTCTAGTGTGTTTTGAAGTGTATAAGGATTTTGTATTGTTACTAGTTGGGGAGTGAGGATTTTTTTTTGGTTTTGTCTTTTAGCTAAAAGAGGAGATTGAGAAATGAAATATGGTTGTGAACAATTGCTGAGGAAAAGAAAAGGTGTGGCTGATGTGATAATGATCTTAACAGGAACTGAATTTGTATTGATTTAGTTAACAAGCATGTTGAATCTTAAAGCTAGTTTATAATGCGGTGCACAGACCCACAGAAGTTTTTGGGAACATGACAGAGAAAAACCTTGATACCCTTCTGGGCAGCCTAGAAAACCATAGTATTTAAAGCTCAAGTGTTTAGAAATGAATAAATTAGATTCTCCTTTCCCCACACCTGCATTTTGCTCCTTGTAAATCAGTGGTAAATACAGCTGAGCCAGATAGGCAGAGGTTAATTTCTTGCTGGTGTGGGCAAGCAGAAATTCAGGGACCCCATTTAAATTTGGAAAGCATCTTAAATCCAATCCTAAATAAAAGTTATGTAATGGGAATCCACTGCTGAATACAGTGTTCTCCAGTATCATGCTACAGTTATGAGTATTTCATATAATGTTTTTTCAGGTTTTCTTATTACGTTATTATCAATGTAACATACAAGTTTAGTCCATAAACTTATATTCATTAAATATTTATAAGCTGAAAGGAGTTAGAGGCAGTAGAAAGAATTGGTAGAAAAAGCTTTACTGAAAAACCCTAAATCTAGCTAAAGTTTCGCTGTGGGATACGAATTTCCTCTCCAAAGCTTTGTGTCAGGAGAAGCTGCCATGAATGAAGTAAATAGATAAAATGTTGGTCCTTTGTAGCTAAAAGCAGGCTGTGAGTAACGTGCTGTGGGTTTTTTTTGAATCCTAATAATGCAGCAGTCCTGCAGATCATCTTTGGCTGAGCTTATGGCGAGGACGTCCTTAGACCTGGAGCTGGATCTCCAGGCGTCCCGAACGAGGCAGAGGCAGCTGAACGAGGAGATCTGCGCCCTGCGGGAGCTGCGGCAGCGTCTCGAAGATGCCCAGCTCCGAGGGCAGACCGACCTACCCCACTGGGTCCTGCGGGATGAGCGATTCCGAAATTTGCTGAAGGAAGCGGAGAGGCAGGTACGGCCGCGTGAAATGGGCACTCCGCGTGGTCGGAAAGCTTTTATCCAGAAGTTCTGGGTTGTGAAAACACCTGTAAAGGAGCTGTGCTTGCAGAGCTTCCTTAGCATGGAGTCTTACAAGCCATTAGTGTTGCTTCTGTGTTCTTGTAGTTGCTACAGTGAAAACATGATTGCATGATTACTAAGCTGGGTGTTTAAAGGAAGGCCATTCCTGGAGAGTGGTTGTATTTGCTGTGTCAGGAGTGGTTCTCAGGTTGACTCTTTTGGACAATGTACTTGGGTGGTTTTACTGTGATGAGTGAAAAAATACTAGTTTAATCTAGGTGTTCTTCTGTTTTATTCATTCACGTGATCGTTTTTATTCTTATGTTCTCATCACTTGTTTTCAGACAAGACAGACCAAATTTGAACATCACCAAGAGCAAGCAGCTGAAAAGATGCTCAAGAAAGCATCCAAAGAAATATATCAGCTGCGTGGGCAAAACCAGAAGGAGCCTATTCAGGTGCAGACTTTCAGGTAAGTGGTAGTAGGTACTGAAATAGTAAACACTTACAGTTCATTGAACCTCTCTGAAGCATCTGATTCAAATTCCTTGTCTTGTGTAGGGCCAGCAGTCTCTAACTGTATATGTGGATTTGGGCATGCGACTTTCCTTTAGGCTATTCATAGTGCAACCAAAATAAAATCACAATGTTAATATTATGAAATACACATCAAATAAAGAAAAGAAAGTCTTCAAGTGCACACATAGCACACATTACGAATTGCACTCTCCCCATAAAATATTTCTTGATATTCTAGCTGTTTTCTGAACAAATCTTTTCTCTTTGCCATATTTCCTGTTTCATTTCTGTTCACCTGCTGTGTGTCCCCTTTAGTTTTATTCTATATGAGAATTTTAGAACTTTTTTTTACTGGGAATACTGAGATGAAAAGCTGTTGGTCCTTTAATATACTTTTTCTTAAATTATGTTGGAGCAGGAAAAGTTCTCCTCATAGAGAGACAGAGAGAAAGTTAGAGCAGGAGGGTTTTTTTTTTTTTTCCTAACAGCTTATATTTCTGGTAATAATAAGGTTTCTTATGCTTTGTCTGCAGAGATACAAAGTACATGACAAAATGAATAAAATGTTAGATGTAGCAAGTGGAACAAAAGCTCTTTTCATTGATTAAATTCTTACCCTTTGTTTACACATATCCATTTTTTTAGAACTTATTTTACTGCATATACTGTTTGCCCAATAAGGAAGTGAAAAGACAAATCTGCGTGTCCTCTTTATTTATTTGCAGACACTATTGCAAAATTTGAAAGGGTAAACTTTTCATTACCAAAGGGGTTTATACAGGACTGGAACTGTGGCAGCTTTTTAAACTGAAATCACTGATGTCAAATAAGTTGTATGAAGCTGCTATTGAAATTTTCAAAAATAGTAACTGTGTTCTTTTTCAAGAGTTTCTTTCTAAAAGCATAGGGAGTTGTATTTTTTTTTTAAGTTTCTTGCACTCAGCAAAATATGTAGGTAACAAATAGTAAACGATAACCAGAGTAAAGAAATAGGGTTTTGGGGAGAAATGAACGTGTATATTTGACTTCCTTTTTATCTGCTTTTTTTCGATCACAGAGAGAAGATAGCTTTTTTTACAAGACCAAGGATTAACATACCTCCTCTGCCAGCTGATGATGTATGATGTGTTGCATTGTAAACATGAAGTATTTATCGCTTTTATTTTAATGAAGTTATTAGATTAGCCAAGTTTCTTTAAAAAAATGTGCAAAAGCTAATATACACGTTTTGTAAAAAATAAAAAAAGTAAAAAAAGTAAAAGTAAACAAAAACATATATATAAATATATATATACATATATTTTATAATAGTGACTGCAACAAGGCTTGGTTTTTCCTTGTTGTGAAATTGACATCTCTGAAGACAACTTATTTTATAAAAGATCGACTATCCTGTTAAGAGCGTGTACAGTTTTTATGCTGTTTTATTTGACTTAAAGGCTGGAAGACAGAAACAAAGTGAGTTCAGGCAAATTCACTGTAGTGTAATTTATTTATAGTGCCTTTTTTCCTTGAAGGAAAATACCTACTTTAAGATGTATTTTAAGACTGAAATTTTGTTCTTCAGTATTTGTCATACAGTAGAATGGAACCATTGAGCTGGTTTTGTTTCTGATACCTGAAATGAAAATACTATGTTCTAAAATTGTCACTTTTTTCAGCTTTATTATCTGTAGCTTATTATGTACATTGTATCCTTTAGCACTGTCTGTGTTATAGCGAAATATTATCACCTGCAATGTGCTTAACACTGATTAGGAGTGATGTTTAACATTGCAGAACTCATTTGCATGTTCTTACTGTGCACTAATAGATTGTTTTCATTTCAGTTGTGTCTAAAATATCTTTATATCCTTAACTAGAGTCTCGACTTAAACGGAGGAAGGAAAAGGGTGGCAGGTCTTTGTTTTGTTGTTTAATGAAGGGGGATCTAAAAGAATATTTTTGAGCTGGCTGTGTGGAAAAACTGCTGGATACAGCATTTCTGCGGTTTTTAAAACCCTGGTGTGATTCCAGAAAAGACATACACACTAATTTCAGAAAGCAGCTGCTGTAAGTAAGGGTGCTTAAACACATGTTCACCTTAAGGCATATGCTTTAAGGTTACTACATGTGAGCTTTGTTGAGCAATGACACTTTCCAGAAACGAGGTGTATAATTCAGGAAGACTCGCTTCATCTGTAGTTGGACCAGCTAAGATCCAGGAAGAAATAATTTTACTTGGGACCTTTCATTGTAGTGAAGGACTGTCACCCTGAATTCCCGAGAATGCCAGTTTTGTGTCCTTGCATCCTGCAAATATGTAAAAATACTTCTTACTAAGCTACTATTATAGAGTTTCTCATATTTTCTAATTATACATTACCTACAAAGAGAGGTGCCCAACACAAGACCTATTTTGAAAATTTCTGGAAAAACCCAGAAAGGAACAGCATGCTGTCTCTTGATTAAAGGGATGTTACCAGGTCAAATCGGCTCCAGATTTTTATGTCGGGAAACCAAAAGAGTTATAAGAACAAAATTGTAAGCAGACTTAACAAAACCTCTGACCAATAGAATATGTTCAAATATTTTCTAAATGAGTAAGTATTGCCCGTGAGTTTCAGGAGCTTGTACTGTATTCCAAGGTTGAAGACCATGAAAACCCGAAGGTGAAACTGAATTGCTTGGAAGTGATAAATCACTTTATCCAAGCTGAGGCAAAAAAATAGAAAAAAAAAAGTAAATCTAAATCATTAATCAGGCATTATGATTAACGACATTATTTTTAAAAGAGTACTCCCTGTTTAATGGTTAGCCTCTGATCATTATAAGCATTGAGTAATTTGGTGGCATAGTAATGTATGTGAAGTTAAAGCATATTTAATGTTTTAACATGCTAACCATCCTGACATCCCTGTGCTTACCAGTGAGTGTTGGTAGGTATATATTGAGTTCCCCTGGCTGAACTAAAGATGTTCAGAAACTATGCAGATCGGCCCGATTAAATTATGGAATCAATTGTTAGTGTTTGGGTAAATGTCTAGGGACAGCAAGCTTTTCAGCTCTCATTACTTGAAAAGATCAGCTAGTCAGAATTTCACGTGCCTCATTTTGGGGACGGACAGCTGAGCTAAGGACTGTTTCCCCCTGAACCTGGTCAAATGCTGGAAGAGGTTCCCCAGAGAGGCTGTGGCCATCTCCATCCTCAGAGGTGTTGGAGAGTTGAATGGAGACAGCCTTGAGCAGCCTGGGCTCATTAGGTCTGTTTGGAGCAGGGGTTGGATGGGGCCCTCCCTTCCAGCCTAAGTTATTCTGGGGTTGGACAGTGATGGGGCCGTGTCTCATGGTCTGTTTGCTAAGGTTTCTGTTGGTGTTTCTAAATCGTGGCTGCCATCGGTGTCATCGGTGTCTTCTGTGAGTCCGTGATTCTGGCTGCTGTCATGAGTTCGGCTTTGATGTGGTAATGAGTTATCACATTCAGTATTCATCTCTCTTGTTTTTGTCACAGTTCTGTATGATTGTGTCATTTTTTTATTATTTGAAAGTACTTCTTCTACAAAATAAAATAATTTGCCATAAATGGAAATAGTCTTGTTCTGTACTACAATATAAGACATCTGAATGGCTTATATTTACCACATTTACAATGCTTTCATAATGAAATTTCGTATAGCACTGCCATCTAAATAGTAAAAAAAGTGGAAATCCCTGAAATCAGAGAACGTAGAGAGGCTACAGTGAGGGATTGAAATGGATCCACAGTAACAGGAATGGCAGGTATCTTCTCCCATGTGCTTTACGTTTCTCGATAAGTTTACAGCTGTACCAGAGGCTGCATCATAAATTTCTAGATTTTACAAGTAATTTCACTTGGGATATGTTGAACTGCCTTTTTTTTTTAACAAAAGTTAAATTTGTACTTTGTAGATGTGTATTGGAAATACCTTAATATTAGTATCTCCTTAAGGTCTTACTGCTAATTTTTAGGTGGAAGCCACTTTAAACAAATTTAAGTTAACTATTTGAGGCCGATCTGCCCTGCTGCTTGCCCAAAGGGGACGTTACATCCTGATAATGGTAGAAAGGGCACTCGCAGTTTCCTTCTGCTACCCCGAGATGCAGAAACATGGAGGAGGATGCGGCCCTGACATATGACTCTCTGTGCAGCATTTGCAAGGCATTGAGGGAATGACAGCTCAGGTTATTTTTAAACTGTTTGCCAGGAATAGTAATTGGGAATACCAGCCCTGTTGGTCTCGCTGCCGGCAGGGCCAGCGACAGCAGTCGGAATGGGTAGGTTGGAAGGGGGGCTCTGTGCTAAGGATGAGCTCGCGTGTGTGGTTCTTGCTGCACTTCTTGTAAGCACTTTGCAACACCTCAAGGTAAGTGCTGTTTAAAGAGAGCAAGGGCTTTTTTAGGCATTAGGGGAACTTTACAGGCTGGTACTTTTGTTTTCAGTTGGATGTAAAACTCCTGCGAATTAGGTTTTTAGGAAAGAAGACATTTTACTGCTTGTTTTGAATCTAGTCTATTTTTTGACTATAGGAGGATATATCTGTGAAAGGAGGAAAAAAAAAGTTTACAGAGATTTGAAGGATTTGAGAAAACTGCAGGGTAGCAAATGCCCAAGAGTCTTTTCCAAAACATCACATAAATAGCATTTTCTTTTTCATGGGACCGCTCAATTGAAGAAGTCAAATTAGAAGGAAATAACAAAGAGTAAAGTTGATTTGTGGTAAGTTTTTGAGTTCTGTGAATGTCATTTAAATGTACTTTGTATGTTTATGTACAAAAGTGCTGGTGCTTTTAAAAAGGGTCAGTATAAACCAATTCTGGCCTGTTTTAATTTCTTGCAATCTGTCAAACATACCTATCTAGGTTATCGAATATAATTTTCTACATTGAATTATGTATCCTGTCCCTTTAATGTGTTTGCAGTTAGACCATACCAAGCTAAAAACATACATCCAGCAAGAGATTGCATGAATTCAGCTGCAAAAATACACAAAAGAGAAAATGAATTTAGAAAATATTTCCAGGAAAAAAATGGAGGGTCAAGAGCCTCTAGCTCATTTGATTAGTGCAGCAAATTACTGTTCTGTTTAGCATATGGTATTACATCATGTAACATGTCCTGTAACACAGAACACAGAAATGCCCAGATTTAGATGTCTATGTCTGACGAATTAAATGCTACTTGCTGTTTTTCTTATTTCCTGTTCATAACCTGATCAGAGAAAATTGCAGATACATTAACAAGAAAATGGATTAAGTGCCCGGTTTTGTTTAAGCGCCTTCGCAGCGTTCAGCTGGCCGCTTAGCAGCAGTCTCACGGGGACAGACAGCAGGCGGCCGTGGCAGGAAGCTGGGAATTTCCTATCCGTTTCCCGCAGTTATCCGGCATGGTTGGAGCGGGCCTGTGGCTGGTGCTGATGGGGGAGTGATGGTGAGAGGGCCGCAGTGCTGTGCACGCGGGACACGGGCACATCCCTGTACTAACGGGTGCTCCGGAGAGGTGCGGGGGCTCCACTGGGTGCAAGATTAAGGGCTGAAGTTTCCTAGTAAGATCCAAAATATGTGGCTTCTGGTTGGAGTATCATATACGAGGAGTGGTGGAAACCTTGCGCAGCCTACAGCCAAGATTCGGGGCAGTGTTGCAGCCAGACCAAAAAAAAAATAAATACCGGTTTGTGCAGCCTATATCAGCCTGCCGGGTCGCCCGGGCCAGCCTGCTTGCTTACGCATCCATAGGAACCTGCCCACCCAACGGGGGACACACAAATCCCGCAGAACTGCGCCGGGGCCCTTCGAGGTGAGTGGAACCCGCGCGTGCCCTCTCTGCGGCCCGTGCGTGTTTCTGCGGGTGCCCACCCAAGAGGTGCCTGCCCCCAGGCCTTGCGTCTGCTTGGTATTTCACAGCGCTTCGCGAATAATGTCTTTAAGGCACCTCCATATGCACCGTGTTCAAATAAGGGAAAATGAGCAGTAAGGTAAGTGTCTGGGTATGAAACGTAACATTCCCCATGTTCAAACATGCTTGAGTATTCACACTATGTCCTCAAAAGAAGAGGTAAAAACTCTGCCTTTCCGAATGTAATCCTAGAGGGGCAGGCAAAATCAGTACCACCAGGATTTTTGACATTACTATTTTGACGCAAAACTCAAAAATACACTGTAGAGTAAGCTCTAGTGAATATCTAAAAATAATGGTTCTGAGGGGTAACATATTGTTACCAAAATGTGGAAGTCAGGACAATGGCAATTGCTTTTTTTAATAGATCATTTTAGGATGTTCACGTTTTGAAATATTTCAAAGGAAAAACCAAGGCGAACCTTTGAAAAGAGAGGGTGGGCTGGCATGGAAGGGCTGCACTGAAGAAAAGGCGGGAGGCTGCGGGATAGGTTAGACCCCGTGCGGCCTTGGGATTAGGGGGAGCATGAAGTAAGGGTAGCAGGGGGTCTAACCCTGTGAGGGAGACCTGTAAAGCTGGGGTATGATACAGAGAAGTCGATCTGGATAAGCCTGAAATGGAGAACTGGGAGAAGGAAAAATGCAAGAGGTGATGAAACTGTGGGATGTCTCATCTCCAAGCTGCTGTGATTGCATATTTCATAAAGATGAAAGGAAATGATTATGACATTTACGTGTTGCTGCAGTGTCAATATGAATATTTAATTTGCAGGCAACACACTTTTACTAGGCTTTTCCATCATGAAAAACGTGTTCGTTATTGCTGTTGCCAAAAATAAATAAATAAAGCCTTTTAAAAAATAATTAGGTCAAGAGAAGGAAAAAAAAAAGAGCAGATGTTTTAATACAAATTTAATACAAAATACATGAGGAAGGGTAAACAAGCTTCCAGCTTAATCCGGCAGGATTACAAGTCGCTCTGCCTCCCTCTGCCTCCTCTCCTCTCCGATATCCTATAGACGGGGATGCAGTCACATGATAGTTACTGCTTCCTCCCCATGACATCACTGCTCCTGCAGCCACACCACCAAGGAAAGGATGCTATTAAAATCTTTGGGACGGGGCTAAATGATGTTGCATTGCAGGTAAGCAGCGTAATCCTTGAAAAATGAATTTGCCAGTTGCTCCCGTGCTGCTCTCCCCGTGCTCCGGCTCTGCCGGGCAGAGCTCGAGCTGCAAAACACGGCACCGGGTTCCTGTGCGAGCAGAGGGCTGGCAGGTGCAGGAGCTGCCTGCGCGCTCCGTGCGGATCTTGCTTGCTTGATCCGGCTGGCATCTCCTCTGGAAGCGCTGCCCGCTGGAGCTGCAAAGCTGAAGATGGCCCCTTGTCCGGGCATTTTGCTCTGGGTCCTTCGTGTCTTTGCTAAATCCTCTTTTTATGTGAGCAGCCATCACTGGGTCGTGCAGAGGGAGGACAGCAATATTGTTCTGCTTATGTTCCTGGTTTTTCCTGGATTCCTAAAAGAGGTTGTTATATGGATAGATATATCTAAGATTAAAAAGGAATGAGGATTAACTTGCTTAGGGGATTAGCAAATGTATTTGTAGAAAGTGGATTTTCCTTTATTCTTAACATTTGCTGACAGTTTGAAAGTACCTAGCCTGGCAGGTTTCTTGCATAATTTGCTGTAGCGTAGGATAGGTTTTGTTTGTCATCCAAGATAAGCAAGAAAAAAATATTTTCCAAGAAGGACATGCAAGATTACAGGCGAATATTCCTTCTTACACAAAATGCATCACTAGAATGCTGAAAAATCTGCACAAAATGGATTGTTCGGACTGTTGATATTTATATGTCAAAATCCAGAATCTATTTTCTTTTCGTGCTGTGGGAGTCTAATTATGTGCTCTGTACAAATATATAAAGACATATACTTGCGGTGAAAATGAGTTTTTTTTTTGTGGATTACCTTTTTTATATTATTTTTTCCCTTTAATATTTTTTTGTTAACACAAATGCTAGAATGCAAGGGGCTGCAATCACTTGTGAGCCTTTACCAATCAGAAAAAGAATATTATCCTGGTTTTATGCATTCAGAGTTTTTTGCCTTTGCCAGAGATGGAGGATGACTCAGCCACAGGAGCATCGGGCAGATAGTCAGGTGACTTTTCAGCACAAAATGCAGGAAGTTTTTACTCTTGAAAATCTTGTCCTTTGTTTAAGTAAAATTTTCCCCTCTATCAAAAACGCTGACAATTTGCCATGTGTAGGATCTCTGGATGCACATCTGTGTACTCGGTGAGATTACCTAGGGGGAGATTCCCAGTCTCCTGTGTTGGAGTACGTAGCATAGCCTCATGAAGGATGAATTCTGGATTTGCGCGATGAGGTTTGCAGTCATAGCAGAAAACAAGAGTCTGCAAAGTCTGTTATGTTATGAAAAATTAAAAGCAATCATGAAAAAGGGGTAACAGAGACCACCGTTTTTCAGCACTGAGACACAAGAGCATACAAATCTAAGCATACAAATCTAAAAGTCATGTTATGAAAACATAGTAAGGGCTATATTCTGCTGGAGTCAGTTCTTAGTGTTTTTTTCTTTTTTTTTTAACTTCCTCTGATCAGTACTTTCTGGCACCTAAAAATACGCTGATTTGTGGCTTTATTCACAGCACACACCGAGACTTGGCAGTTTGTTCACATGAAGTCCCCACTAGAATTGCAACCAGTGTGTTTTACAAGCCCGATGTTTCTCCCCCATCCTGCACCACCATGGTACCCCATAGTGCAATATATACAAAGCAGAAGTTCTCCTAGTCTCTTGATCCAAGTCAGGCATTTTTCAAGCAAAAATGAAAAGGTACCACTCTAAACATACACGGAGGCAACTCGAAAATTAAATAGCAGTTTGCAGACCTAAGTACTTAACAGTGTGACCTTGAAAATCCCTGTTCCAACCTATCCTCCCCTGGAAGCCCTGGGGCTGCGGCAGTGCTTCACCTTTGGACTTGGAAATGTGGTGGGCAGACCTAGCACGCAGCATCCAGGAACATCGAGGACATCAGGAGAGAGCCATGACCAGCCTGCCCCACGCACAGGTGATTTTTGGAGGTGCTGGGTTTTGGAAGCTGAAGGTTCACTGGGCCGGAGAGGAAAGTAGGTGGGATCGTGCCTGAGGGGCAGTGCTTGTGGTGGGCAGAAGACAGCGGGAGGCTCTCACCCTGGTGGTGCCCTGGTCATTAGGCACGAGGTAATGTGGGTGGGAGCCTTGCAGTGGGCAGCAGTTCTATCATGGAGACATCAGTGGTGCTTAACGTGCGCTTCAGCACGGCCTTTGCGTAACTAAAACAGGTGTTTTGGTGGTCAGTGTTACGTAGCATAAGCCTCTCCTGGCTCTGTCCTGCTTTTAGCTCAACTTGGGGCATGACCTGCAACCAGCAGTAGTGCCTCTAGGTAGCGGTCCTTATCCAGTCTGCTTTTACCATGAATTTCCAGTTAGTATGACCTCTAGCATTTCCTTCGTGGACATGACTTGTTGCCTCCACTGCCGTCATGAGTAGGAACATGGTAGAATATATTACTAATTTCCAGTTAGTACGACCTCTAGCATTTCCTTCGTGAAAATGACTTGTTGCCTCCACTGCCGTCATGAGAAATATATGGTAGAACAGATTAAGGGCTTTTCTAGCACAGATATATCAATCCTGTTTTAAGTTGAATGCGTAAAAAAGTTTTTCAGTGGGAGAGGTAGCACCATGCAGCCCCCTGTCCCTCAGTCCTGCCCTGGGGCCCTATGGCAGCAAGACCCTCTGTCCCAAGGGCCACTGAAGCCAGGGTGAGTCCCCTTTGGCTCTGCGAGTGGAGGGAGATGCAGAACAGAAGCTACATGTGATGCTAAAGCAATGGCTGGGTTTCCAAAATCTTCTGTCTTCTAAATGCTGGTTTCTTACCCCACATTCTCTAGGGTATCCAAATTTTAGCCGATGGAATCAGAACAGATTTAGCAGAGGGGCATCCTTTCTTAAAGCATAGCCGTAAAAATGCAAAAGCGCATCCTGTAGCCAGTAGTTCTGCACTCAGGCTGCTTCCACCAACCTAGTATCAGCCCAACCTGTTTCCTGGAGGGACCCTTAAAACTGTGGAAACAGCAAAGAAGAGTGAGGTAAACGTTTACACCCTGAGCTGATTTTGAGTTATGGGAGTGTAAAACTTCCACTTGGAGCTGGTAGTGAAAGAGCTGGGATTTTCTTCCCCCCCTTCCCCTCCCTTTTTTTTTTTTCCTGAAATAATTGAATGGAACTCATTTTGCTCAAATTTTCCAAGGAAACTCAAACTGAGACCACACTGGCTATTTCCACAAAGAAATTTTCCTCAGAAGAGAGAAATAAACCTGGAAAGAGCAGAGAGCCGTCTGATAGCGTGAGGGGGCTGCCGCTGAGTCGCTGCCTAGGTAGGACACAGCTTTGGCCGGGGAGGCTCCGTAACTTGGAGGCCTCCCAGGAGGAGGACGGAGGGAGGGAATGGGGCCATGGATCGCTACGAGAGCTGCTCCCGGTGCCAGGGAGAGGAGGGCGGTCCTGGCCGCCCACTGCGCGCTCCTGATCCCGCCGGGCCGCCCACGGCGCAGCTAGCGCCGGCCTCCAGCCTCAGCGCGGCCGCGTGCGCCAGGCCCCACGCCTGGCTCTGCCCGCCCTTCTGGCCAGCCCCGCTATCACCGCCGTGCTCGGGCCATTGGCACGTGCAGCGGTTGAGAACTCGTGTGTGGAGACTGTGGTCGAGCCCAGAGCAGTCTTCTGTGCCTCAATTTTCCACTTTTTCATTCCAAATATGCCCCCCCCCCGCCCTTTCTTCCAGGACATCTCCCCTATGATCTGGTGCCCTGTGTTTTCTGAGCTTGGCCTGTGGCTTCAGAATATTTTCCATAGAGGTTACTCAGGGTAAAACTGCATGTCGAAGATTTACTGCGTACTGCCTGCCATATCGCAGCAGGAAAATATGTGGAAACAGAGCTGTACATGAAAATGCTGCAATGTTTTACAATAATGTTCTAGGCACCACAGCCTACCTGATGTTGTATTTTGGGAGGTGGCAGATACTTGCTATATTATTTACTCAAGTATGGGAGCCCTGCAGTTAATGCTAGAATCTTAAAAAAAATGAATTTCACGAATTTAATCTCTGTATTTTCCCAATTTAGCACTTCTCCACTTCTTATGTTCTGTATTATGTTTCTAAAAAGGCCTGTAATCCAATTCTGAGGTTGTTTTAGTTTCTGACAAGTCAGGACCTCGCTCTATTTCAATACTATTTTAACATTTTTCAAAAAAAAACATTAAGATAGAATAATCAACCAACTTGCTCAGCCTAAGATTTTTAAAATGAATGATCTTAAAGTGCCTGTGGATCTTCTTCAACCTGGAGAAAACTGCCAGCGAACAAACTGTCAACTCAACAGTGATCTATATCACAGATACGGACAACTCAGTTTTCATAATTCTTTGATTTTCAATTCTGGAGCTTAACACAAATGTTTTTTATCTCTAAATGTCAAAGATCCTTTACATCCCAAAGGAGTTTTCCTCCCTGCAGCTAGTGACTGTTTCCTCTTAACTCTCATTTTGTGCATTTGAGAAGAGTCTTCCTCTCTCTTCTCTCTAGCTCCCTCTTAGATAGCAGGAGTGGAATTACATTTCCTCCTCTCCTTCTTGTCCCCAGCTTAAACAAATCTGCTGCTTCCAACCCCTTCTTCAAAAGTCATTTACTTGAGATTCCCCAATCTTTTCACTGTGCTTTTTGTTCATCTCTTTCAAAGGGACCTCATAGTAACCTTCCTTGCTGATTTTTATGCACTATTGCACCTATTTGCTGCTGCTAGATGGAGAGCTCTCTGATTCCACCTGTATGATCAAGTATCTCCAGGCTGCCCAGAAAGGAGTCTCCTTCTTTGGAGATATTCAAGGCCCGCCTGGATGTGACCCTGTGCCACGTGCTCTAGGTGTCCCTGCTGGAGCAGGCGGGTTGGACTAGATGATCTGTAGAGGTCTCTTCCAACTTTAACCATTCTGTGATTCTGTGTTTCTTCAGCCCTTTGGATGGAGCCTGGTAGACACCAGGTCTCACTGTGATTTGATCCCTTATGAGGTG